ACACTTCTTACACAGCATCATCAGTTCACTTTAAACCATTTCTCTTTAACCAGAGAAGTGGTCATGAACCACACAGTGACAAACCTAACGCTTTTCACACGAGCGTTTCCTTGCACTTGGTCCGTGGTTTAACCCATTGCAGCCCCCCTCCCTTACTCTCTTGTATGTTGTTATTCATTTCTCTCTGTTTCTCCTCTCCTGTGTGTCCTGAGGTGCATGGCTGTGTGATTGCATGTGGGTGTAGTTTTCTGTACAGGCAATCTCCCTCTCATTACCGGCAGTTACCTGTCTTGTTTTGTATCTGTTACGACGACGTGCTTTAACTGAATCTTTATTTGCAGTCGTGTACTCTGTACATTCTGGTGAAGTCTTACTAGGAAGGTGAACTTCTCACACATACTAAACAGAACAGGCTCCATCTGCATACACTGCGGACCAATCACAATCAGGCTCAGTCAGCAACCAATAGGAACACATGTTACAATTTACAACACAACAGTGTTGCTAAGCAACCACAATGCTATTCTGTGAGAATATTACACCCCCCTTTTAGAAAAGATAAACGTAACACATACTTTCAATTACAGTATACATGGCATAATGTGCTGTTAGTGAATAAACCCAAATCAAAATGTTTAGTAAAATCAACTCTGCATCAGAATACATCACAGCATATAACCAATGAACAATTTTTATTTAAGGGCAGCGATCTGCCTACACGCTTTTACATTTGTTTAGAAGTCCAAAACAGACCTGGGCTTTATCTCTCGTCCGTACCTGGTCTGGTAAGGGACAGTGTGAGGAACTGTTTGAGGGACAGTTTCACTTGTGATCTGTGAGGTGAGTGATGTGGGACTGTGTGGTGTTTGCTGCTCATTGTCATCAGGTTGTCTGTCTGTGTGTGTGTTGGGTGTTTCTTTTGTGATAAGAAGGTGACGTCTGTTTCTCCTGTACTCTTGTCCTTCAGGTGTGTGTATGTGGTAAGATCTGTTAGTGTCAGCAGGCTGAATGATGACTGCAGGCTTCCAGTATCCTGGATCTTGGAAACGGATGTTTTGTCCTTTGTGCAGCTGTGTCATCTGCTTGGCTGACCTGTCATAATATCGTTTCTGGGTTTGTTGCTGATGAGCTCTCCTGGTATGAGCACTTTGTTGGCTGACGATCTTGGGCTGAAGCTGCTTGTGGGTGTTGGGTAGGATGGAGCGTAAGCGACGACTCATAAGTAGCTGAGCTGGTGATCTGAAGTTATCAACCGGTGTGTTGTGGTTCTCTGGGAGGCTCAGATAGGCATCCTTGTGATCAGCTTTGGCTTTTTTCAGGAGTGACTTGGCAATTTGTACAGATTTTTCTGCAAGACCGTTGCTCTGGGGATAGTATGGACTTGTAGTGATATGGTTAAACTCCCATGTTTTTACAAAGGTTTCAAATTATTTACACTTGTACTGGGGGCCACTATCTGATACAACAGTCTCTGGTATGCCGTGTCTGGCAAAAGCTGATTTCAGTTAATGTTTAGGCTAGTAATGGACCTGGTTCACGTGTGACTAGCTCCTTCATTTTCCTGAATGCTTTGTCGTGTTATGTATCACAAACAAACTCACTTGCCCCCGACCGACGATTTTTCCCAGAAATGTAACTGTATCCTGGCCAAATTCACATTTTGCTAAATTTAGTGTGAGATTAACAATGTAGGGCTTTAAAATGTTAATGCAACAGAATCTATTATGTCGCCTACGTTCTTGAGTGGCTACCATGTAATCCCAGTCATTAATTTTGTCCTTTATTACATAGGAGCCGCTGTAACGAGCCTGCAGAGCAAAACCGGGAATGGGCAACAACGTTAGTACTTTCTCACCTGGGCCGAAGTTTCTGTTTTTCACGTCTTTATCAAACAACCGCTTCAGAACATTCAGATATAGAAAGTTAAACATCAGGGCCCATATTCATAAACATTCTGACAATCCTCTCTGAGACCTCCTAACTTCACTTAAGAAATCCTAGAGAGGATTATTGTCTTAGGAGTGATATAGTAACATTCTCAGAGCGACTCTGAGTACAGAAGGGAGGAGGCATAGTTGACCCCGTTGCTATGTATGACACATTTTTTTCAGAAGCTGTGATTGGTTGATCCAAATAATGGAGAGAAGTGCTCTCTAGTGATAATGGACATAGACAGACAGTGAAATCCATAGGGCCCTATCATAGAATCGAGTCAGACATTATGTTATTATGAACACTATGAAATGAACACGTGTGATAATTATTCAAATGTACACATGATGAGAGTTATATCAGCATTTATTAGATATTGGATTTACCTTGTTGTGGATTTTTCTGTTGGTAATGAAAGATCTCAAGTCAAAGTCTTTTGTCTTTCTGTATTTTATTGCATATAGTAAAGAGTTCTTTTGCAAAACGGGTAATCAGCTACAAAAGTAACATCAGTCACAAGTGCATCAAAGATTCCCGGGGCAGTCCCGGTTGCAGAGCATATTTATACTTTCACGGGGTGTAGGTATATTACATATACATGAGTAAAACATCGTCATTGGTTTCAGCTTGCCCTAGTGACTACGCCTTCTGCTAGTTTGCCTGGTGATTTATCTAACACCAACAGAAACTCCTTTGTTCGGGGGGCACTGATTTAGGATCATGCTGTACCCAGATACTGAGGGGAGTTCCTGTTGGAGATACAGACCAAGGCCATGCAGAGAAACAGTTTGTAATTGCTAAATGACGCACGAACATCTGAATCTTTTAAGTTCAAACGAAGATGACAGACAGATAGTATTTTTCCACTATAATTCCCCCCTTTTGATTACAGATAATCAACCAGAATAACGTAAAAATTATACAGGAGTCTGAGATGTTGAGGCGGCGCACTGAAAGCACTAGAGCCTGATACCAAGAGTTGGTGTGATAAGTCGTTTCTCTTTTGGAGATGTTGAGTGGGGGTGGTTTTAGGAGTCTGGAGGTCTGTAGTTCATACCAGAGCCACGGAGCAATAATGATCATTACAATCATAAAAAGTATACATGTTGTGCCTCTGGCACCACACAGGCCTGGGTGGTTTTGAAACGGATGCCAGGGGCGGGGTCTGTCCATGTTGTTCTGTCTCTCAGTCAATGACAGGTGTGATGGCATCCGGAGCAGAGGATCTATCTGTCTCTCAGTCAATGACAGGTGTGATGGCATCCGGAGCAGAGGATCTATCTGTCTCTCAGTCAATGACAGGTGTGATGGCAGCTGGAGCAGAGGATCTATCCAGAGGTGTCAGGGTCAGTTGGTGGAGTTGTCAGATCCGGGACTCGTCTGCAGTGGGTGGCATGTGTCCAGGTGGCTCTCTCAGCAACTTTCACAGCCGTGTGAGTGGTGGGGAGGATCTGGAAAGGTCCAAGCCAACGCTGATGCTGCCAGGACTTCCTCCTGAAGTTCTTGACCACGTAATCACCAGGTTTCAGGTCGTGGAGCAGCGTGTCAGCCGAGGGTGGGAGTGTCTCCTTCACCTGTGCTCTGATGTCAGAAAGACATTTTGTTAAGGATATGCAGTAACTTACCATGCTCGCCTCGCAGAGGGCGGTGTCCATGGGAGGTCCTGGAGGTCCCACGCCGACATTTAGTGTACCTGCAAAGAGTATCTCAAAGGGAGAGAGGTTGCATCGCAGGCGCACTCGTATTTTCATGTACATCAGGACAATAGGCAGACACCTGGGCCAACTGAGTTTTGTTTCTTGACAACACTTTACCAGTTTCTGTTTCAAAGTATGGTTCTGTCTTTCGACAGCGCCACCTGACTGTGGGTCATAAGAACAATGAGTTTTCAATTCAAAACGCAACTGTGTGGAAAGCTGTTGTATGGCTTCGTTGACAAAATGTGAGCCATTTTCTGAGGACAGTTTTTCAGGGATTCCTCACCGGGGAATGATTTCTGTTAGTAAGGCTTTCGCTACTACTGACACGGTGGCATGTTTGGCTGGAAAAGCTTCTACCCATTTGGAAAACATGTCTACCAGTTCCAGACAGTACCTTTTACCCTCAGTAGGGGTTAGTTCGATGAAATCCATCATGACATGTTGAAAGGGTCTGTCTGGTGCTGAGTGTGCAGCTTGATGTGTCAGAGGTTTGGTCCTACCTGGATTATTTTGGGCACATATCAAACAGTTTTTACAAAAATCAGCGGCAAATGTAAAAAATCCTTTTGTGAACCAATGTTTTTGAACTATAGCACATATCCCTCCTTTTGACACATGGTCTAGGCCATGGGCCAACTTACAATAGGTCATAAACAGTCTACGAGGGAGACAAGGTTTATCATCTGAACCTCTCCATACACCCGCAGAGAAGAGGCAGCTGTTTTGAGACCAGGGAGTGTGTAGATAAGAAGTGTGAGAAGTGGAGGCAGCTGAATCTGCTCGAGCGTTACCTAGAGACACTGGATCTCGGGCAGAGGTGTGTGCAGTACATTTGCAAACAGCAATACTAGCTGGTAGGAGGATGGCTTCTAACAAGGCTGCAAGTTTGTGATGGTGTAAAATGGGTTTACCATCTGATTTGAGAAATTTGCGATGTTTCCAAAAGGCTCCAAAATCATGCACAACACCAAAGGCGTAGCGAGAGTCTGTGTAGATGGTAACAGTTTTGCCTTTTGCAGGCTTCAGTCAGGGCCACCAGTTCTGCCACTTGTGCTGAGTAATGAGAAGGCAAAGGAGAGGAGCAAACAACAGAAACATCATCAACAACAGAAAATCCTACATGGGCGGTGCCCCGTGCAGGATCTCTGAAAGCAGAACCATCAACATAGAAAATGAGATCAGGGTTAGTGAGAGGTACATCTTTCAGGTCCGGTCTCGGGGTGCAGGTGTGTTGGAGTTCTGCAAGGCAAGAATGGGGTTCACCCTCACCCGGTAAATGCATGAGGGTGGCAGGGTTAAGCACAGCACATTTTTTAACATGAACATTTGGTAAACCTGTGGTGTGATATCTGAGCCATCGTGCTGGCGTGAGGTGTGATGTTTTCTGTTCCTTTAGGATAGATGCAACAGAGTGAGGCACCAGAAGGTCAAGGTGGGTGTAAACCTACGAAGTCACGTGAGGCTAGCACTGCAGACTCGCAGGCAACCACTGCATGCAGGCATGCTGGGAGGCCTCTGGCAACAGGGTCTAGAAAGCGGGAGAAGTAGCCAACTGGTTTCAGCTGACCCCCATGAGCCTGTAAAAGCACAGAGGTCATACAGCCATTTTTTTCATCAACAAACTGTGTGAATGGCTTCTCTGGATCTGGGATGCCCAAGGTGGGAGTGGACTGCAAGGACAGTTTAAGGTTCTCAAACGCAGTGTTTGCCTCCTCAGTCCACTGGATGGGGCTGGAAGCTGTCAGGTCTCTTTTGTGTGCGATGTCTCTCAGCGGTCTCTCCATCTCGGAGAAATTGGGAATGAAATGTCGACAGTAAGAACACATGCCCAGGAAAGAAAGAACTTGTTTTTTAGTCATGGGTTTAGGTGTCTCTGCCACAGCTTTAACCCGAGAGGGAGAGAGAGATTTGCCCTGTGGTGTGAGGATGTGGCCTAGAAAGATCACCTCCTGTTTTACAAACTGTAGTTTAGACAGGGATGCTTTATGGCCTTCTTCCGCAAGATGGCGCAGGAGGAGGATGGTGTCTGTCTCACACTGTTCTTTTGTTGGGGCTGCGATGAGAAGGTCATCAACGTACTGCAGCAAGACTGAACCTGGAGAGAGTGTGAGAGGGGAGAGACTGCGAGACAAAGCCTGACAAAAAAGGGTAGGGCTGCAGGTTGGTCCTTGGCACAGGCGTGTCCATGTGTACGCTTATCTCCAAAGTGGAAAGCAAACCAAAACTGGGAATCTTTCTGAACTAGAAAGAGAAAAAAGTATTAGACAGGTCCACAATGGAAAACCATTTATCAGAAGAGCGAATCTGGCTGAGAATGGTGTATGGATTGGGAACATTAGGAGTAGGGGTAATGATGGTAGAGTTTACGGTTTGTAGGTCCTGCACAAAACGTCACTCCGTGGGCTGTCTGGCAGGACGGATCTTTTTTACTAGAAAGATTGGAGTCTGTACCGTTGAATCTTCATATGGAACGATAATTCCAGCCTCGAGGAGAGAGTTAAAAACATTTTTTTTGCCCTCTCTAGCTTCTTTTCTGAGTGGGTATTGGCGTTGTTGGGGTCTGTAAGTCGACTTTGGGAGTATCTGAACCGGTTCACAGTTTTTTATCAGGCCTACATCAGATTTGTTGGCTGCCCAGAGTGTACTAGGGACTTGTGCCAGCAGAGGAGAAAACTCTGCATGTGAGAGCGCTTGAAATAGACATGAGGAAGTGTGTGTGTGTGTGCGTCTGCCTCTCGTCTATGAGATTAGTGGAGGGGAGAGAGTGAGAGGATGCCTGTGTGTCTGCAAGGAGGGGGGAGAAAAATACACACAAACTTTCAGTGGCAGGCTGCCAGTCATTTGCTCTTTTACACTTTGACACAAACGGACCCAGATCACGCCGCCTGTCAGTGGGGGCTTTTGGGAGGGAGATGTGGGGGATATGATTCGTTGACGTCATAGAGTTTCATCTGTACTGGAGTTAGTTTGACAGATGCTGCACAACGTACACCATCTGTGTAGACGTCAGTGATCAAAATTGTATCATTTAATTCTTTGAAAAATCGCTTTTCATACTCCGGGTTAGGCCCTTCAGAGCAGACACGAGAGGTGCAGCGTAAATCTTCTGGCTTCATCTTCTCAGCGGTGTTGGAAACAAGTGTGAGTGCTGCATTAGTTAAAGACTGAGCAGATATGTCATTTATCCCCCACTGATAAACATACAGGGGAGTATTTGGGCTGAAATGAACGCCAGTAAAATGTGATAGTCCCCTGACTTCAGCAGGGGAGAGGGAACACGTGTCAGTCCTGCTGACCCGTAAGCCCTCGGGGGTGGAGGTTATCACAATGCCAAAAGCGCACATTAAATCGCTCCCCATAAGGTTAACCGGGCACATGCTGGACATGAAAAACGAATGTTTAGCTTTTGTTTGTACTCCTTCAAACTCCCATGAACAGTTGACAGGGATCCCATACTTTTCTTTTACGCTAGTAGACCATGAAAAACGGCCACTGTCAGGCAAAGTCATTTCGGATGTTTTTAGAACGGAGTGAGTTGCTCCTGAGTCAACTAAAAATTTGATCTTCTATTCTTTAATGTTATATGTTACCATTGGCATTTTCTCATGAGCTTCAGAGGAAAGAGATGCATAGAGGCCCTCCTTTGGTTTGGGAGGGGTTTCTAACACAAATTCTTTGTTGAACTAAGCCAAGCAGTGTATCAGTGCACAGCGGCTCTTCATTGCGTGGAGCGTGTAATGTGTTGTGTGTGCGGGTACGTTACCAACTACTCTGTCTGACGGTCAGTCCGAGGCATAGGGAACTTGTTCGTTGTCCTGCCAGCCCTCGCGACGGTTTCCTCCGCCCCCCTCTCTTGGTGTTTCTGGACAGTCTTTGGCCCAGTGGCCTGGGCTAGGATGGGTCTCGTCAGGCCTTCTCCAAAGGCCATTTAAATGACATTTTCAAAGGTGGTTTCAGGCCCCTTGAGATTGTCCGTAGAAGGGATTGTTCGGACTGATTGTTGGTTGTTGTGGGGGCAGGAGCTGGTGTTGCTGTGGGGGCAGGATAGGTGGAGCCATGTAGATGGGAACCCAATCTTCTTTGCCTCGAACTCCACCGGTCAGAGAGGGATAAAGAGCAGACACAGGGGGTGTGATGGAGTTATCAGTGAAAGCATATGTTTTTTCTTTTTCCTTTTCATTTTTGATAAAACTTTCCCTGTCTTTTTCCTATCTCTGACTTCTGCCTCTGTCATCCATATATTCCAACAATCCATTTGTCTTTCTATTTCTTCTAACTTTTCTCTACTAATTATTTTCTTAGACCTAACTTTTTCTTCCTTCTTTTTCAAATACATCTGTAATTGTACCAGTTGAGTTATATTCAGGCTTCCATTGTCAGGAAATCCACATTCTTTTATCCAATATTCAACACAAGATAAATATCGAAAATAGGACCCTTGGAACTGCCATCGTCCGCCTTACTGCCTTTTGACCATGGTCTATTCTCTGTAAGACTATCAGGCGTCCCCGATTAGTCTGTGTAAATTTCCATCTTTACACTGGTAAAGCCGGACTCTAACCGGACTGAAGTTCCCAGAACTTCTATTAGCTACCCAGTAGCTGGCAGGAAACAGAGGATGGGCAGTCTCTCTTTTTAACAATTACGCAAAAATACACTTTAAGCAGTTGACTTTGTAATTAATTGAGACTGGAATGTTTTTACCGTGTTTGGAGAATTTTCGTCGTTCGTTGGATTCCGAGGTGACGGCCGCAGTCCACGCAGTCGGTCCTCTCGACCTTCAAACTTTCAGGGTTGAGGCAGGACGATGTTTTTCAAAGTCCTGGATGATCAGTCACCGTCAGCGGTGGATACAGCGATCAGCCTGGAATCCCACTTCTGACACCAAGTTTGTTGTGGATTTTTCTGTTGGTAATGAAAGATCTCAAGTCAAAGTCTTTTGTCTTTGTGTATTTTATTGCATATAGTAAAGAGTTCTTTTACAAAAAGGGTAATCAGCTACAAAAGTAACATCAGTCACAAGTGCATCAAAGATTCCCGGGGCAGAGCATTTTTATTCTTTCAGTAGTATTTAATTTAATTTAATAGTATTTTTCCACTACAATCTGTGGAGGTAACCAGGAACTCAACATGCATGTCTCACTTTGCACTGACAAAAGTCTAAGATGGACTCTTAAGGGCTAAGACACTTTGTGAATAAGTTGAATCATTACAATGATCTAGTCTTAACTTTAAGAGGAAATTCTTAGAAGTTGTCACTAGGAGCAACTATTTAGGAGGCTTCATGAATAAGGCCACAGCATTACATAAAAAAATATCTCCTTATACATTTAAGTGGGAAAGTAGGGAACAGACTACTTTCCTCTTCCTGCATACTAGCAAACTTTGCATGACGTAAATTACACATAATACAGATGATTAACTAATAAAGATCATAGAAGGAGCCTATAAAAAAGCAATAGTACATTAAGTTAATTCATTTATTACACATACAATTCAAACTATAAACATATTTAAACATCAAAGATTATTTTTCTCAGAATCAATAAAATATTCCTTCAGATTTTCAGTTTCTTGAAAAGTCTCACTTATCATCCTTGTTTGTCTTTTGAAAATTGTTTTTCATAAGAAAGAAACAGCATGACAAAACCGAGGTTCTCCTAATCGGCACCAAATCCACAATTTCAAAACCTGACAGTTTTTCTCTCCCTGTTGATCACTCCTCAGTTTCTCTCTCCCCTCAGGTTTAGAGTCTGAGTGTCCTCCTCGACAGCACACTATCCTTCAGAGCTAACATCAATAATGTCACTCGGCCCACTTATTTCCATCTACGTAACTTAAATCTCCTCCGCCCGTCCCTCACATCCAACAGTACCTCCATCATTGTTCACATCCTTTTTAAATCTCCAATCCTCACTGTTCCCCCTCTCAAGTCCAACCACAAACTTCAACTGGTCCAGAACTCTGCTGCTTGCATCCTCTCGTCACCCCCCTCCATTAATCACATCGACTTCAAGATTCTGCTCCTCACCTTTAAGTCCATCCATAACCTCGCTCCTCTCTACCTCTCTGATCTCCTGCACATCAACACACCCACCCTCACTCTCAGGTCTTCACACCACACATCTGTAATATTGACTCTTTCTCTATTTTTAAATCTCATCTCAAAACACATCTTTTAAAATGAGCATTTTCTGTCTGATCATTTTCCATCCTATCTCACAAAGATTTCATACTCTGTAAATTTGTCTTTTTAATGTTAATTTGATGGATGTATTGTTACTCTGTTGTTTTTATCTTTGCTTTGTAAGGTGACATGGAGTGCTTTGAAATGAAATGTATTATTATTATAAAAGAAGCTAATATAAAAAATAATTACAACAACAATACCATAGACCAGCACAGTGCTTCACAGTGTAATGATTTGGCTGCAGTACATTACAGTATTTTTATGTTATCTGCCTTTGAACAAAAACATCCTTCCTGTCGTATCCCATCCTTTGTTCATCACTAACCTGCTGCAAAGAAAAAACATTTAATACAGAAAAGAGAAATAGAGATATTGCATTTAAGATGAACATGAAGTCATCCTCTTCTCCTTCATGAAGCTTGAATCATAACCACTCTGTGGACATAGTCTGCTTCTTCTGCGTCCTGTTTGAATGAAACAACACAGAGAGAGCGGTGTCAGTGCTGTGTGGTGACTTTGATGCAGCTACAAGAGACAAACCAGCAACACTTGCAAATCAAAGTCAGTTTAAGTTTTCCTGAAACACTTTTCACTGTTACCATCTGGTCTCCTGTCGCTGCTGTTGGACCTGAATATCTGAACATCAATTTCTCTGGATCAATTACTTTATGTGACTGTGTTGATCAAATCTTCAAAGAAAGCTACTCAGATAACTTCTCTCTTTTATAACACGTGCTTCAATCTCATTTTGTAGAAAGAATGATGAACCTGTCCTCATCTAGTAACTCACCTTCACCTGTTTGTTGAAGCATCTTGACTTTAACCAGCTGAAAGAAAAAGAGATCAGATAAAAGAAATAAGAATCAAACACTGACACTGTAAAAATAAAAATGCAATGAGATGAATAACATGAGCCACAAATCTTCATTTCTTATGACAGTTTGTCTCACCACTCAAAGATGATGACTGAACTGCAGAGCAGCACGATTCCCAGGATCTTTAATGTAATGTGGACATCAACCCCAAACAGATCGGAAATCAGATTTTCTGGAACAAGACATCATGATCACCTGCTACTCCATGGAAAAAGCTTTTCATGGCTGTAAGATATCCTGCACTTTAATTTAATCTTTTAAACTCTAATGTGAACGTCTTTGTTTCATTTATTTATGTAGCATTATTACACATGAATTCAGTAAGAATTGTTTTTAGTGAAAACAAACAAATAACCCGACAGATCGAAAAGGAGAGCATGTTGGATACAAATGTGATGATTCAGTTCTAAATTTACCTGCAACACTCAGATGGATCTGTGGTGATGTCTGATTACTGAGATCATTCATGGCCACACAGTAATAAACTCCTCCCTCTGTGGCATTAAAGCTGTAAAACTCTCCTTCAGATACGATCATGGGTCCATCTCTGCTGATCTTGAACCAGGTGAAGCTGCTGACAGGAGGATTGGCTCTGCTGGAGCAGGTCAGGTTCACATGAATACCTGCTGACACCAAACCTGATGGACTGATGGACGCTGAGGTGTTTTTAGGAGAATCTGAGGAAAATGTTAGATAATTGTATTTCATTAAAAACAGCAAACATCTTTAAAATCATTTCATTCTGACAGGATCCAATAACAATCTCTGGTTGTCTCACATGAAACTCTGAGAGTCTGTGTGTCCTCTGCTGTCTTGACTTCTTTTCCTTCATTCACAGGATATGTGGCAGAACAGGTGATGTTGTATCCATCATGTTTGTCCGTCAGAGTGATCTGCTCCTGGATTTTAGTCATGAAGGTTTTATCTGGGTTTTCCTCCATGTTGTTGAGAGAGTCTTGTTTGAGATTCCAGGTGAGTTTAGGAGGGGAGAGTGGACAGGGAGTGGAAGCTGAGCAGGTTATAGTGACAGACTCCTTCTCCTTCAGATCTCCTGAGATGATTAGTTTGGGGCTCGGAGGAGAATCTGTGTGTTCAAATCAAACAAAGATTACTTTAACCAATAGACTAGCTGACAGTGACTGTCCTTTCTAAAATGCTTTTCTACTATACTCTTCCCAAACTTCCAGCCACCGCCTGTCATCATTACCACGTTAATATTCTGTCATGGAAACTTCATGGAGAAGGTTTGTAATGTCATATATGAAAATGTGTGTGTACTTTGTAAGAAGGAAGGGTAGGATACGTATCATTGTTACATTGTTGTTGTTGTTTTTGTGTGTGTGTGCATGTATATGTTTGTGTGTGTAAGGGAGAGGAGGGGGGGAGGTGTTGAAAAATGTTACAAGGAAAAAATGGTCCTAATGATGTTAAGACAAAAGCTGACAGCACTGTAATTAAAAACTTGAAATTAAAATGTTTTTCTGCTTCTTAGTGTGCCAAGATTGGACACTTCAATCTCAACCAGTAAAAAGAGTCTCAGTATTTAATCAGAGTTCAACTCGTGCTATGACAATGATTTATTGTTTCTTAATAAAACCTTTATAGTCTGATTAAAAGAAAATTAAACTCTCTTACCTTTGACTTTTATTTGAAGAGGATCACAAATAGCATTTGCCATGAAAGGCCAGTTCATGATTCTGAAGTAGTATAAGCCTTTATATGTCGTCTTCATGTTGTAAATCAGAGTGGTGCAGTTTTTCGTTCTCAAGTTTCCAGTTATCTTCATTTGAAATTTGTTCACTGTGCCATCACTGTTAAAAACTACATTCTTTGGATCGTAGGTCTCTTTGTCTTCTTTATGCCATATTCCAAATGTTTCTCTTGTGTTGTCAAACTCTCTTTCTTCTTTAACACTAAAGCTACATGGGATTTTCAGACAAGTTCCACTCAGTGCTTCCATCTTCTTTGGTGTAGTGATGAAGAGCCCTGACCAAGAAGTCCGACAATCATCCGACGCTTCTGTAAAGCAGACCATCAGTTATTATAATGTGGAGCAGGATCTTCATATAGAGGATGTTAATGAGAGTCTAAGAAGTAATGTGGTGTGCTCTGGTCTTTTTCTCTCTTGTTCACAAAGTCAGTCTAAAACATTTCACTTTTCAGTCAGGACATGAAGAGATGAAAGAAGAAACTCTATCTGCACTCTTCTCTCAGCTTTGTTTCTACAGGAAGTTCAAACTGTACAGATTAAACATCTTTGAATGAAAGTAAGTGAACAAACAGCTCACCTGAAAGAGAGAAGACAGTCAGTAACATGATGGCTGTTACCATGTTCACTGACAGGACTGCAGTAACACCCATCACCTGGAATTAAAAACTAAGTTACTCTTCAAAGTCCTAGTTAAAGAGTTGGATTAACAAAACAGTCATTTTCACTGAAAGAAAATAAAAGCTGCTGAAAACTAAAACGATAAAACATAAATAGCAGTCATAGCTGATCTTACCAAACAAACCTCCAGGAGCTTAAACAGAGAAAATGTAGAAAAAAGACGATTTTTAAATTTCAGCAGAACTGCAACAAACCAGTCACCTCGCTGCTAAGACACAAAAACCCCAAAAGATTTATTCCTTTCTTCTTGTAGTGAGAATGAGGAAGTTAGTGTTTGACTCCTCCTCTGTTTTATTTAAATTTTTTACCCTTTTTTGGTAGCATCAACTAAAGATGGACAGTTAAGACGAGGAAGAGAGAGAACGTCACCCACTAAAGGACCCAGGTTAGAACTGAACCTGGTCCACTGAGATAAGGACTCATGCTTTAAATGGTACATGCTCTAACAAACGAGCAACATGGCCCTCAAGCTGTTGTTGTATCTTTGTCTTATCTAGAGGGCCTGTTGGTTTAAAAGGTTTAATGTGGATAAGAATGATCCAGATTTGGTTCTTTCTATGTTGGGTCATGTGATCCAGCTCATTTTTAATCCCTTTTTTAGATCAATCATGGATTTGATCATCCTGATCCAGATACAGACTCTTGGGGATCAACAAATCCAGATCATCAGTCCTCTAAAAGAGACTTCACACTCCATACTTTTCCACAGGGCGCACAAAACTTAAAACAAACTGGAACATGCTCACAGTCACTTTTAATGTCATATTTTGTTTTGATGTTAATGCTATTTGGTGCAACATTTTATGTGAACAACATCACTCATTTTTTACAATCTTAATGTGTACCTTATCTACTTTGTCAGTGAAGCAGTACAGCAGGAAAAGAGCCACAGGCCGCCCGCTTGAAGGAGGACTATACTATCACTAATCTTTTTATTACATATGGAAAACAGATTTGGATTCAAACCCTCAAAACACATAAAACTGGAAAAGTCATTTTTGTATTTTCATCATCTCAAATGTCTCTTTTCATTCATCCTTATTTCTGTTTAGAACACTGAAAGCTTTCCATACAAAGGAAACAACATCGAAGCTAATAAAAAGAAACCAGCACAGTCCTACACAATGTCATGCTCAGACACAAAAACATCAACGTCTTTATCCTCCCTTCTGTGTGAATGAGGAAGTTTGCTTCTGATGTTTTTTTATGTTAAAACTATTTTCTATTTTGCTTTTTTTGGATAGGTGCAGTGTAAGATGGACAGTTAAGTTGAGGTAGAGAGAGAATAACAGCAAAGGGACCAGAACTGAACCTGGTCCACTCACTGTGGTGAGGACTTTAAATAGTACGTGCTCTACCATCTGAGGAACTGGATACCCCAAGCTTTGGCCGTATGTTGAGGTTGTTTATTTTATTGGTTTCATGTTTTAATATGAGTGTATAATTTAGTAGAATATTGAATACAACATACATTAGACTTCTTAGTAAATTTAAGAAAATGTAAATACATGAACAACTTCTCCTTTGTACTTACATTTCATATCAAACCTTTTACACAGCATCATCAGTTCACTTTAAACCATTTCTCTTTAACCAGAGCAGTGGTCATGAGCCACACATTGACAAACGCTTTTCACACGAGCGTTTCCTTGCACTTAGAGTGTTGTGGTTTAACACCATTGCAGCCCCCCTCCCTTACTCTCTTGTATGTTGTTATTCATTTCTCTCTGTTTCTCCTCTCCTGTGTGTCCTGAGGTGCATGGCTGTGTGATTGCATGTGGGTGTAGTTTTCTGTGCAGGCAATCTCCCTCTCATTACCGGCAGTTACCTGTCTTGTTTTGTATCTGTTACGACGACGTGCTTTAACTGAATCTTTATTTGCAGTCGTGTACTCTGTACATTCTGGTGAAGTCTTACTAGGAAGGTGAACTTCTCACACATACTAAACAGAACAGGCTCCATCTGCATATACTGTGGACCAATCACAATCAGGCTCAGTCAGCAACCAATAGGTTACTTACAACACAACAGTGTTGCTAGGCAACCACAATGATATTCTGTGAGAATATTACACCCCCCTTTTAGAAAAGATAAACGTAACACATACTTTCAATTACAGTATACATGGCATAATGTGCTGTTAGTGAATAAACCCAAATCAAAATGTTTAGTAAAATCAACTCTGCATCAGAATACATCACAGCATATAACCAATGAACAATTTTTTATTTAAGGGCAGCGATCTGCCTACACGCTTTTACATTAGTTTAGAAGTCCAAAACAGACCTGGGCTTTATCTCTCGTCCGTACCTGGTCTGGTAAGGGACAGTGTGAGGAACTGTTTGAGGGACAGTTTCACTTGTGATCTGTGAGTTGAGTGATGTGGGACTGTGTGGTGTTTGCTGCTTGTTGTCATCAGGTTGTCTGTGTGTGTGTTTGTTGGGTGTTTCTTTTGTGATAAGAAGGTGACGTCTGTTTCTCCTGTACTTTTGTACTTCAGGTGTGTGTATGTGGTAAGATCTGTTAGTGTCAGCAGGCTGAATGATGACTGCAGGCTTCCAGTATCCTGGATCTTGGAAACGGATGTTTTGTCCTTCGTGCAGCTGTGTCATCTGCTTGGCTGACCTGTCATAATATCGTTTCTGGGTTTGTTGCTGGTGAGCTCTCCTGGTATGAGCACTTTGTTGGCTGACGATCTTGGGCTGAAGCTGCTTGTGGGTGTTGGGTAGGATGGAGCGTAAGCGACGACTCATAAGTAGCTGAGCTGGTGATCTGAAGTTATCAACCGGTGTGTTGTGGTCCTCTGGGAGGTTCAGATAGGCATCCTTGTGATCAGCTTTGGCTTTTTTCAGGTGTGACTTGGCAATTTGCACAGATTTTTCTGCAAGACCATTGCTCTGGGGATAGTATGGACTTGTGGTGATATGGTTAAACTCCCATGTTTTTACAAAGGTTTCAAATTATTTACACTTGTGCTGGGGGCCACTATCTGATACAACAGTCTCTGGTATGCCGTGTCTGGCAAAAGCTGATTTCAGTTTTTGAATGACAGCAGAGGATGTTGTGCTGTGTTGCTTGTCAAGTTCAAAGTACCTACTGTTATAGTCTGTTGTGACTATGTAGTTCTCGTTGTTCCAGGTGAACACAGAGATAGCAATTGTTTGCCATGGCCTATCAGGGATCTTGTGGTTTACAAGGGGCTCTTTAGTGTTTGAGGGTCTGTGCTCGAGACAGGTTGGGCACTCTCCAACCATTTCCTCAACCTTCTTGTTCATCCCGGGCCAAAACAGCATATCCAGGCTCTCAGATTACATTTTTCTATGCCCAAGTCAGAGGCATGTATTCGAGACAACATCTTTGTGCGTCTTGAGGCAGGGATGAGGATTTTCTCACCTTTGAAGATGATGTCGTTCATCAGAGACAGCTCATCACGATGATTCCAGTACTCTGTGATGCTTACAGCGCATTGTCTACATCCATTTTTATGGTATTTGTTAGAAGCTGTGTGTCTTTTTCAGTCTCTGCTCTGATTTCTTGTAGCCTGGTGTCGCCACTAGGTAAGTTACTGTACACTGTGTACACCTGCATGTCCATACCTTCTCTGAGAGTGTCGTCATGGTCAGACAGTGACTTCCTGGAGAGCGTATCTGCAACAGGAGTGTCTTTGCCTGGTCTGTGGATGATGGTGAAATCATATCACTGAAGTCGAAGTATCATCCTCTGTAACCGTGGAGGCGCTGCTGCCAGTGGCTTTTGCATGATGGACTCAAGTGGTTTGTGTTCACTTTCCACGATGACGTGACTGCCATACACATATTGGTGGAAACGTTACATCCAAACAAAATGGCGTACAGCTCTTTTTCAATCTGAGCATAGTTGACTTCGCTGTCTGACAGTGATTTAGATGCATAGCCAATAGGCTTTCCTTCTTGCAGTAGGACTGCACCTAGTCCATACTTCGATGCGTCAATTTGCAACCTGAGCTCTTTGCTTGGGTCAAAGTAGGCTCGTATCGGACTTGGTTCACGTGTGACTAGCTCCTTCATTTTCCTGAATGCTTTGTCGTGTTATGTATCCCAAACAAACTCACTTGACTCCTTTAAAAGGTGTCGCATGAGGGCATTGATGTCTGAGAGCATGGGGGCAAACTTTGACAAGTAATTAACCATGCCAAGAATAGTCTCTAGCTCACCTTTATTTCTGGGTGGCTCCATGTCTCTTACAGCAGAAATCTTTGCTGGATCAGGCTTGATTCCATCTTTGGAGATGTGGTGTCCAAAGTAGCTGACCTCTGTGGCACAGATTTTGCTCTTCTCTGGGTTGAGTTTGACTCCTTGCTCTCTGGAGCGTTGCAGCATTGCGTGGAGGTTTTCGTCATGCTCCTCTTTGCTTTTGCCTTCTATCAGAACATCATCGACAATAGCAGTGACACCTTGTAGACCTTCATAAGTCTCATCAACTTTCTGCTGAAACTCATCTTGAGCTGATTTTAGTCCAAAAGGAGAAATCTGTATCATCCAAAAACAGTGTTGAAGGTGGTCAACTTGGATGATTCCTCTGTGAGCTTGAAAGCCTAGTAGCCTGACCTGGCATCCATGAGACTGATCAACTTCAAAATGTTTTAATGCCAAAACAAGTGCTAGAGCCTCTTTCTCTATTGTCGAGTACACACGCTGATGACGGTTACATTTTTAAGAATAATAGGAGACCGGGTGTTAAACTTCATCGTGTCCATCCTGAAGGAGGACAGCACCCGCTCCTACGTGACTCGCATCAACCGCAACTTTGAAAGGGCGATCAAACACAGGCGCAGCTAAAACCGGAGCGTGAGTCATTAAGGCCTTTACTGACAACTGTCAGACCACTCGAAACGTTTCTTGGGACTCAACAGGTCGGTGAGCGGAGCCGCAACAGCAGAGAAGTTGCTACAGAAGCTACGATAATACCCTGCCATCCCCAAAAAATGGCGGAACTGTAACTGTACCCTGGCCAAATTCACATTTCCCACAATCTTCAACTCGAGGCAGAGGATAACGATTCGGTTTAGTGACTCTGTTCACTGACTCTGACACAAGTCCAGGTTCAGCCAAGGGGCGGGCGGAAGCCAAGATAATGTCCGGTCGGGTCTGGAAACTCAAGCCGGATCCTCAGGACAACACACGACGGGATGACTACTCTGCAGTTGCGTCCCAAATATCCCCAGCACCAGCTCACACAGCTACGATAGGCCAAGTGTCTGTAAAGCCTGTATGGAGACATAAAAATGTTCTCATTGTATATTACATTGTATAGTTCTCTCTCATTTCCTTTCGTTTAACTTTAGCTGCAAATAAAGAATTTACAAAAAAGGTTTAACTTGTTTACTTTTATTCATATTGAATAATGGAAATGAACTGTTTGTTTAGAATCATTTTTTATATTTTACATACTCTTCTGCTGTTCTCCCTCTCAAAGGCCCGTAGTCCACTCTGAAGAATGTTGTGTATATTTTGGAGTGTATATGGGTTAAGACTGTTTGCTTCTAGCCCCGGATGTTGAGTCATGCAGGTGGAAGGAACAGGTGTTACACCCCTGTACAGCGTACTGTAAGGGGAGAAATAAAGAAGAAACAAACAAACACATTGTTGCTGGCTTTCATTCAATGGTGTAATGAATGACGCTCAGACAACACGCTTCCCCTGCTGGCGTAAAACCGGAAGTGTAAAACAATAACAAAAGCTTAAGACCAAACCAATCAATTACCGATATGCTTTTAAACTTAACCTTAGCAACATGAATTAACATTAAATTATAACTAGCTTTTTAGCGTTTTTAAAGGATATACAACATTTTAGAAAGACATAGTTTTAACATGTGTTATTAATTTAACTTAGTGCACAATCTTATATCCATTACACAGGCAGCTCATTCATTCTCCAGATGACCTAATAAAAAGAACAAGATACTGATTAAAATGAAATAATAATACTCCATCAGTACAGTAATAATGGGGCAATTAATGACAGAGTAGGCAAAATTATTGCATGGTACACATATTGATCTATTTTACACATGATTATCACCTGGGCTTTTGTAGAATAGGTAGCTAACAGTTATATGATGAACTTGATACACACAATTGTAAACTGAATTTTTAATCACAGCAAGGAGGTGATTTACAATGCAGTACAAGGTGAGGTGAGTGGCTTCACCGTTATTCATTTAAGAATGTACAGTACTAATGTAAATTTATAGCCAAACTTTGTTAAGCCACAAGTACAACAGATATTTTTTAATTGGGGAAATATGTTGGTAGTTCTAGTCACTGAAATTAGAAGAGGCTAACGCATTTTTCAAAACAATAACGTTGAATGTTTTTATGATGAAAAGACATGATGCAAACATAACATGCTTTGTGTGTGTCTGTTGTGATGTCCTGGTTGTAAGTTATAGTATTTACCTTGTAAAAATGACCTGTGGTATTTCTCTGCAGCACACCTTTTCTGCTTCTGTAGGCATTTTGCTGCAGTTTTTACACATACACCAGAACAACGTAAAACAATGCAAACACAATGAGCACATATTACTAACATATTACATCTGAAAAAAGCTGAAAAATAAATACCTACCACACTGAAACGTCCTGCTCCAGCCGTCGTGGCAAAGGTTGTGATGGTTGTTCATCCTCTCCTTCGGTTTCAGACTCGGGGTCTCACTGGTAAGGATCATTAACTGCCATTGTTGTTTATTTATTTAATTTATTTAATTTATTTATTAGCACACATATAAGAATAAAGCAAAATAGGATTAATAAAAACATAAAAGGTGTGTCAGGAGAGGTCAAGAAGCCAACAGGCTTATACAAGGGACCTCACCTCTTAAGAGACAACTAAATCAACTAAACAAATCGAATTACACAATTTCAAAATAAAATAAAATAATAAAATAAATGAAATATATATATACCGGTGTTTTTGCTGCCCTTGAAGCCGGAGCTGCAGACTTCCCAATATGGTAAAAGGGGCGTGAAATTTCCGAGAAGCGTTCTGAGCAACTGACCAATAACGACAGAGCGGATCGACAGACCAATCAGAGCAGACTTGGCCCACGTGGGGTCTAACAGTGTGGGCTCAACAGAGTGTAGCTGACGGACTCAGAGCGTAGAGGGAGCAAGGAGGAGCAGTTCATGAAAACAGACACTTTTTTCAAACTTTAGCTATTGTGAACGTACAGAAGTAGGTACATAGATTAAATATACGAACCTCAAAAAGGGCATAATATGGGCTCTTTAAGGCCATCCATAACCTCGCTCCTCTCTACCTCTCTGATCTCCTTTACATCAACACACCCACCCTCACTCTCAGGTCTTCTTCCATTCAACTCACTGCACCACCCGCCCGCCTGTCCACCATGGGGTCCAGGGTCTTCAGCCTCTCTGCCCCTCTCCTCTGGAACTCTCTCCCACCACACATCTGTAAGATTGACTCTCTCTCTATTTTTAAATCTCATCTCAAAACACATCTTTTAAAACGAGCATTTTCTGTCTGATCATTTTCCATCCTATCTCACAAAGATTTCATACTCTGTAAATTTGTCTTTTTAATGTTAATTTGATGGATGTATTGTTACGCTGTTGTTTTTATCTCTGCTTTGTAAGGTGACATGGAGTGCTTTGAAATGAAATGTATTATTAAAAAAGAAGCTAATATAAAAAATAGTTACAACAACAATACCATAGACCAGCACAGTCCTTCACAGTGTAATGATTTGGCTGCAGTACATTACAGTATTTTTATGTTATCTGCCTTTGAACAAAAACATCCTTCCTGTCGTATCCCATCCTTTGTTCATCACTAACCTGCTGCAAAGAAAAAACATTTAATACAGAAAAGAGAAATAGAGATATTGCATTTAAGATGAACATGAAGTCATCCTCTTCTCCTTCATGAAGCTTGAATCATAACCACTCTGTTGACCAGTGTTGGGCAAGTTACTTTAAAAAAGTAATTAGTTACAGTTACTAGTTACTTCTCCCAAAAAGTAACTAAAGTAGTTACTGAGTAACAAATTATAAAAGTAACTAGTTACTTTGGAAAGTAACTATTTCGTTACTTTCAAGTAAATTTTTAAATGCTCAAATGTGTCAAAGAATTTGGACCCCACCTCCACCCCTCTTTAACAGAACTTAAAATACATGTGCATGTTCAATTATTTATGATAAATCTGAATATTATAATGAAATGGATACTTAATACAATCAATAATTAACAGAAACAGTGTACACAAATCTAAACTATTTTAATGTTGCTGTGGGACAAAGTGAGACTAGCCTCCAATCAAATGTCATGTATTATTGTAGATATTATAATTTCTATGTTTATATAGTGGATCCGTAAAAATGACATAATAGATGTTTTGTCTGCTGTGGTAGACAAATATTCTAATTTCTCAAATGTCTGTTTGAGCTCGACATTCATTTGAGCATGTTGGGCGTCTATATAGTTCGCGAACGTCTATCTACATGGCAGGCCGACCCCTGCTCTGACCGGTATTTTGGCAACTAGTGTTCTGAATGACTCCGACTCAACCATCGATAATGGCAGCATATCCTCCACAACATACCTGGCTACCAGTTTGTTTAGCTCGGCCTGAGACAAAATGTGTGGTGGTGGTGGGGCCGTAAAATCAAGCTTCGGTTGCTTAGGTTTTGTGGCACTGTCTCCTTCTCCTTCGGGGGTCTTCTTGGCCACTAATTTCGTGAAAGCACAACTCTACCTCTGATTGGCTCACCATGAAATTTTTGCTCGACACCGACGTGGAGAGCATAGACTGTAGGCTTTTGACTCCAGGGCATAATGTGCATTTCACGATTACACTCGTTCCTTTCATTTCTTGGAAGGAAAAGTAATGGCTATACTTCCACTTAAAGAAGGCTACTGTTGGATTATTTGGGCTCGCCATTCCTGTTTCTCGTTGACTCATTTGTGTTGTTGTGTGTTCGACTATGCATGCTTTCAAATTTGTGTAAACAACACCCGCCCAACACTACCTCTGATTGGCTCACCATGAAATTTTTACTTTACCTCAGCCAATCGTCATCATTTATGCGGTTGTCTCGGGTCCGCACTCACCAAAGAGGAAGAACAGTAAGAAATATCTTTGCCACTCGGCTTAGAGATCTAGTTGGTCTGATGAAAAACAGCTTCAGTCATAGTAGTGCACCGCATTTTTTGGCAGTAACGGTAACGGCGTTATAATGATGGGAAGACTAATCAATTAGATTACTCGTTACTGAAAAAAGTAACGCCGTTAGTAACGCCATTATTTATAACGTCGTTATTCCCATCACTGCTCCTCAGTGAGGCCAACAGGCCCTCGGGATCCTGTTAGTTATTAGTTCTCACAGAAGAACCTTTTCTAACAACAATGTGATGTTCAACAATATTTATTCTCCAGGATTCACCTGGAAAACTTCTGAATTACAGATAGATCTCACCTGCAGCCTTTGGCCATCAGAGGTTACTGAGATCATGGTCCACCAGGTCACTAGAATAAGGAAAGTATTGTTCATCCACTGTTCATCCAGCACACTTCTTATTAGCATCACTTCTGTTTTTCTTTCAAGTCACTGCACCCACTCTTTTTCAAGGTGGGTTTGACAGAGCTCGCCATTTGTAAGTTAATACGAGTCACTTTTCAAAGTTGGAAACCTTTCATGTAGTTGAGGTGACATAAACGTATAATATTGAGTTAACACAACATTTTCGTGGACTTGAAGTAAAACTAACTTGGAATTGTACGTTATTATGACTTTTTGTTTTTACAGTGAGTTTTGGTTATATACCTGCCAGCCATATATTCCTGCTTAGCCCAGCATCTGTGCTGAGAACATGCGTGTTAGTTTAAATCCAACTCTTCTGTCCTGACTGAGGGTACAAACATCCCAAGTGTTCAGTGGTACTAACTGGATAGTGAGCCCAACCTTCGAGGACTCAAGTGGGATTAAGAAGACTGTTTCTTCGAAGGAAGAACTTCCTTCGCCACTTCATAGAGCACAGATTAAACAGAAACGCACACCTGGATTGAGCCCAACGAAAAAGACTGGGCTTAGACACTTCAAATGTTTGTTTTATTTCATGTGCACACTTTATTAATTAAGCTGTTAATTGCATTAGTAAATTGTATACTGTAATCTTGACCTGCACTATTTGTGTTCCTTACATACAAAATGTGAAAATGTATTCCTGTGTGCATCTCTTGACTGGTATTCAGACCTTGGGCTCAAGGTGTCCCAGTCTTCTGATGTTTATCCACCTTCAACACTTTATGTACAGTAACATGGGTTAAAAACAACTATGCCTTTTCCCTGAATTTGATCAGATATGTTGGGAGCTATGACACATAATGTTGGTGTTATAATGTTGTTTACAGTTAACGTTAAAGATAATACTTGTATTTGTAGTAGCATTTTTTTTTTTCAAAAACTGTTTGAGTGGAAATTAAATAGACCTCCTTTTTTGTTTCTGCGTTTACTTGAACATTGGACCCTGTTCCCACTGAGCTGTTAATAAGTGCATAATAAAGTATTTATTAATCTTTATAAGTAGTGTTCCCACTTTAGATCCAGTACCTGCAGAGGAGCTTTATTAGCTCTAATAAGTTTCTAACAAGAGCCTATAAGTTTCTTATAAGACATAATAAAGGTTTTAATTATGCCTCTATTATCTAATAATGATAATCTAATAAGGTCTTATAACAGCTTATAAGTGACTTATTACCTACAGCTTATTACAAGCACCTTATAAAGTGTTACCAAATATATTGAACACAGCTAATGCCAAAACAAGAAACTTGCACAGTCTCTGTCTGTCATCCAGTGTGCAGAAATGTCATCCCAGCCTTTCGTCCTCTGTCAACAATAATCATCATCATCATCAACCTTTATTTAAGTTGTCGGAGAGATCATCGAGGGCGACCCTCATTTACAATGATGCAGAGAAAACGTGCATAAATGATAAACAACGAGAAATTAGATAAAGCTACTACAGAAAATAAAATCAATAAAAGAGCAATAAGAACAATAAAATATATACTAAAATAATATAAAAGCCTGAAATTACTACAGTGATAAGTCAGTAATGAAAATCAAATAAAACAGTTACAGTCAGGTATTGGGCGGTTAAAAATAATATTTCTAAAGTGTCCATAATGGATAAAAGTGCTCAAATTCAGGTCCTGTTGTAAAATATTCCAGGAGTAATATACATGAAAAAGTCTAAATGTGCTCTAAATTAAATGTTGACTTACAACACAGTAGACAAACAATTACATCATTACATTACAAACAAATTAATTGAGCAAAAAGCTGCATGTGTGTTTTCTGAAGTTGGAGTGGGGTCAGGAGCCAGAAAAAAAGGTTGGGAACCACTGCTATGAAATGTCACAAAGACGTCATGGAAGAGTAAAAAAAATCCCACAATGTTTCAAGTTTTCCTAAACATTCTCAAGCTGCAGCTACTTAATGGTTGTAATGCAACTTTAGTCCAGCAGATGTCGTGATTGTACACTTTTTTCAACACTGCTTTTGTTGTCTGTAATTAGGCATACCAGTGAGCAGATGATTAATAATTAACGTTTGATGTTTTTTTAATAAATGTTCAGTATTTGTCTTTGTCAGCAAAACAACAAGAACAGCATGACAC